ACAGCCCCATGCAACTTGGAGCAGTGTCTTTGTAAAGCTGCAAACAGACTCAAATTCTGAGCCTGCCCAAGCCTGGCAAAGGAGAGTAATAGTTAATCAGATGCTGAATATCAAGAATGTCTTTTGCTCACCAGAAGAGATGCTCACTGTTTCAGTGAAGTGGCTGTAGATGCCATGTGTTACAATACAGATAGTAAGGTTTATCTTCTGCAATGACTCCTGTTCTGAGTGGGGCACAGGCAAAAATGACCCTCTGCTTAATTGCTAGGATGACATAGAGCAGCTAGCAGTAAAGCTTCCAGTGCTTGAAACTGTGACTGACACAATTCAATAGTGAAGGGGTCTAAATTGCCCTTCTGTGTGGTGTTCGCTGCTTTCTCCTTGCAGGGACACCATAAACACCAGCTTGAGAAACCTTGCAAGTGAGAGCATACTATGCAAGTGTGCAGCCACTTCTGGGGTAAACTGGATGCACGTTATATCTGGGCTGAAGCTCCTGGGTTCTTTGCTCAGTTGATTAATGAAGATACTAGCTTTTACGAAAGCTTTCTTTGACCATGAATATTGTTGATGCAATCTTTGGTGTTGCTGCATATTAGCAATGTGTACCAGAGATTTTCACTAATCTGAGCAGTGCTGGTGATCACAATTTTATGTCTCCTGTTACTGTCAAGTGCAGTATCAAACCTTACTGGGTATTTTTTGTCACTGCAGACCATGTCAATAGGAAAATAACCAGTTTTGATTAAACACTTCATGTTTACTTGGAGCAGCTCTTAAGCTGCTTGAACCTGGTCTATACCCTTGCTCTGTTGTGAACCTTTAATACTAAGCAGGCCTCTCAACTCCCATCAAACCAGATGCCTATCTGCAAGGATAAGGTTTCTAACCTTCAGGCATGAAGCCAGACTGCAGCTGCAAAATACAGAGCTGAAAATATAGTGTGTTTCTGGGATGTTGCTTTGGTTCTTTCTGGCTGGGTATCTCTTGGCCATCAAGTTAAAATAAACCTGTGGCTGAGTGATTGGTATGATGTGCCTTCAGGATGGGCTTGTTCAGAACTAGTTATTGCCATCACTGAGGAAAGTATTAGGATTTTGGCACTGACAAAATAAAGATTTGTTTGTGTCTGTCTTAGCACTGCATTTAATATTTTTGCATTTAATTTGGGGACTAAATAGATAAGATTTTCTTAGCTGTCATCTTGTCTTAGTTGCACAAGTTGCTTCCTGATGAGGGCTCTTTGCAGACTCGGAAGGATTTGAGTACTGTCTGAAGACTACAGTAATGGTTTCAATGCTATGGAAAAATTACATTGGGATGTGGTTCAGAAGTCTTTAAGCATGAAGAACTCCTACCAGCTCCGGCTGGGATTACCAGCTTTCTCTTGAAGATGTCTAAAACCTGACCTGCCTTTGGGTAGCTAGCTAAAATCTGTGGGTCTAATTACTCTATTGTTAGTATAATTAAAGAGCACTTTATGCATACAAAACTGAAATAGTATTTGTATTTTACTAATCTTACCTGCTTGCTTTGAAACAGCTATGAACCTGAACTATTTCCTGGCCTTATTTATAGGATGGTCAAACCAAGGATAGTGTTGCTTATCTTTGTGTCGGGAAAAGTTGTACTAACTGGTAAGTGGTCTCCCTCTGTATATCTGTAATCAAGTGCCACCACATCTTCTGAGAAAGCTAATGTTTCATTTAAATGCTAAGCTAATATCTTGCCACAGTAAAGCCACTTGGAAATCTTTTTTAATGCCTACTGCTGCTTATCTGTGTTTTCTGCAGATAACAATATCTGTATTGTTGCACTAAAATCTCCTATTGTACAGGGCGTGTTCTGAGGGAAAGGTTTACACATTCATACTGAGTGTCACTTAATCTAGCTGCTAGTTCATTGAAACAGTTTTTTGTAGCTAATGTTTGTTGCACTAGCACGGTAGTGTCACTGTCAAGGAACATCCCTTCCTACTGCAATACAGCTTGTGTACAAGACTTGGTATTAAAGATTTGCTTGCAGTAAGGTGGAAAAGGTGGGGTTTGAAATTGCAGGTGCCCTAACAAAGCTTAAAAATAAAAAAGCTTCTCGGAACCAGAGGAGGGGAGTTCTCAAACTATGAATCAACTTCCAGTATGGGAATAAATGCCCTTCATTTCTTGTTTCTGTCTTTCTACTTTATCAACAGGCAAAGGTGTTACTGTTAAGCAGATAACACCATGGTGGCTCTCAGTTGCTTTTTTTTTTCCCCAAGCCAATGTTTTGCAGCTGTCAAGAGTAGCCAACTCCTGTTTGTTCCACAGGTTAAACAAAACTAGTCTTAAGGCAAAGCAAGCCAGAAATTGTTCTTTGTGAGGTGGCAGAAGTATGATAATTCTTCCTTAAATTAATAGCAAGTTGCTTTTAAACTCCTGTGTTTCTTCATGGTTTGTAATCTTATCATTAGGTTTGGTTGCACTCAGTTGTTCTCAACACTGTTAATTCTTAACCTGTTTTTTTCTAAATGTCTTTCTAGGAGCAAAAGAGCGTTCTGAAATCTATGAGGCATTTGAGAACATTTACCCCATTCTAAAAGGCTTCAAGAAAGCATCATAACACAGCCCATAAAGCAACTAAGAATAATATATGGGTTTGTATTACTACACATGGAACAGAAGCAAGGGTATTCATGGACCCAGTTGTACAGTTGTGGATTGTTAAGCTCAGCTTTAAGTGTACTGAAACCTAGCTCCTGCAATGTTGTATTTTCATGTTTAAACTCAAAATATATTTTTGTCTACCACACAGCTTACAAAATCCAGCATGACTCAATTTCAGTGCTTTTGAAGACAGTGATTGCAGAGGAAATCTGTTGAATCCCTCTGATCCTACTGGTTGGATAAACTCTTGTGCGTAATGGTGTTAGTAGTCCTTTCACAGAAGACACTCAAGGCCCCTGCCAGAGCTGGAACATACCTAGAAAGTCCACATGTGGAAGGGATAACTAAGCAAATTAGTTAACAAAATGGTACCCACTTGTATTGCTGACGTCATCTCTGGTGATGGGAGTTTGTTGCTTGTCCCAGACAAAAGCATGTTGGTTAGGAGCTACCTTTGAAGTGGACTTGAGGAAAATCCAAAGAATCTTGGATGATCAATGCTTAATTATCTGGGTTATTTAACCAGATGTCAGCCAATACCACTACATCAAAGCCTTTGGTAATTTTGCAGCTAGAACAGTGGGGTTCTTATACTTATCTCCAGGTGAACTCAAGGCTTCCTTTTCAAAATGTGTCATGCTCAGGCTGGTGATGTGACTAGGAAGTCACACAGTGTCAAGATTATCCCTTGACTCCTTTGGTACCTCCTATGATTCTCTGGGAGCAAGTGGCTTTTTCCACAACAGGGCTTTGGTGCTGCTGGGGTTTGTCTTACATTCTCCCCTTGTTTCCT